AAACAATGCTAATACTTTTGGGCTACACAACAATGCTAATATTAATTTAATATTAATTTATGACTAGATTATTTCAAATTTTTGAATTTTCAGGATTATTTTTTCTTTAGAAACGGTAGAGATTACTCATATGTCATGGAGGGAAAGAGAGATAATCCTAAGACATCCCAAGTTTTAGAATTATAATTTATCGAAGAAATTTTAATTCTAAAATTTTATGGAATGGATCTTTTTTATATACTTTATTGGATACTGTCCAGGTTATAATATGTTGTAGATTTGATGCAAAATTTGCAGATTTTTACTTTTACTCCCAAGTAGAATTTTAGGATGCTGAACATCGATCAACACTTCCAGGTCTTAAGGCTTTACGTACAACACGTACCTTACAAGAAAGGATGGTGATAACTATCGAACCAGGCTGTTACTTTATCGATACGGTGAATAATTTAATTTTCAAATCACAGAAAGTAAAAGATATTTCATCTTACTCTCGGTTTTTTGTTCAACTTAGTTTCTGCTTGTACTTTAAATTTATTCTTTATTTTTGAGAGTTTTATTTAAACTTCACTTTTCTTTTTTCCTTCTATCTGCTGTAATTTATTTTTTCTAACCAACATTACTTATCTATTTTCAATTTACTTTTGAAGAACCATTGCTTACAATTTTAAAAAATTTTCAAATTTTAGCTATTAGATGCTGCCCTTAATGATCCGATGCAAAGCAAATTCATTATCAAAGAAAGGCTAAATGAGTTCCGAGGTTTTGGTGGAGTGAGTTTTCCTTGTTTAAATTAGATCAAATTATTCTCTAACGTAGAAAAATGATATTACGGTGGCGTTGCGAAGTAATGAAATAGCAGAAGTTTTTTTTTTTTTCTGCTTCAGCATAATTTTAAATTTGAACGAATGAAATGAATGAAAAGCTAAACACAGGCACAAATGATTTTAAGGTAATAATAAATGCACAATTGAATATGGAAGCAATTTTTTCTAGCAGTTAAATTTTATGTTAAACATCTTTTAAATCAAATCAAATTTGATTAATTTCAATAAAAAATTTTTGACGTTTTAATACTTCAATTTAATTTTCAAATGTTGTTTTTGTAAAATTATTTATTACAAACTACTTGATTTTATTTTAACATCAAAAAACTCAATCAAAATTATTGGACTTGCTAGATTAACTGACTAGTAGGAGCCATTAGTTAAGTTGCCTAAAACTAATTACTATTTTCATTAAGGTACGAATTGAAGATGATGTAATAATCTGGTCGGATGGCAATGAACGCATGAGCAATGTTCCGCGAACTGTAGATGAAATCGAACAATTCATGTCTGGAAAATAAATAAACGGTTATTGATTAAACTAATTACATCTTAAAAGTCTCAAATAATCCGAATTCGAATGATTGAAGAGTAATCAGTTCAAAGAAAACTGATTCTACTATTATAATTTTGCATATTTAAATGCTGCATGAAAGGTTTAGTTCAAAATATCGTATTAGCATCGTTACTAATTAAAAATTGTGCTATAAATTTTCAAGTTTTACTTTACAAAGTTCCTAATTTTTCTGTACTGACAAATTTCTCACTGAAATGATTGTGTTAAAAGATTAAGGAAGTAAGAAGGAGGCTAAATCTTTTCAATTATTTATATAAATTGAAATGTTAAAAAAAGGTGATCACTGGATTTAGTCGTTATTATTACTATCATTATTATTA